CAGCTCGTTTACCTGGAGTAACTCTGTTCCTTTTGTCCTCCCTGAAGCTCTGCAGGCTGTTCACGCCGTTCTGCAGCCGATTGGACATCATGACCAGTTTCACTGGACAGTAGCCAACGTCTGAGCAGATGACATTTAACCGTTGCTTTTATTATTAGAAGATCTGCATTAATGTGTTCCAAAAGCAAGACCGTATAAATATTAAATGTCTTACACAATGATTGTTTTTGCACTGGCAGTCTAACATTTATTGGTTCCCCTGGTAAATATTAGTAAAAAATTATATATATCCTTAAAATGTCAATGCAGAAGCATAATCTCTCACCAAATTAAAACCTGGGAAAACTTGATGATAAAAAAGAAATGCACTTTGATTGGAATACTGTAGGGAGCAAAATGGGCCCTGGGCATTGCAGAGATTTTACTGTACTTAAGTGTGCTTTTTCCACACATTCTTTCTTCGTGCAACTCCACACCCACCTGGAGTGTTTGCTGTGTACGAGCGCAGTCCGAGTCTCATCTGACCAATTCAGATAACTCTAGTTATTGTCCTACTCCACAGACATACATTTGTGATGGTAGGACAGCCAAAGCTCTTTTTTTCTGAAAACAACACCTATTTAGAGAAAGTACAAAGCATCTCATGGTTGCTATGGAGACCAGACAACAGCCTTCTTTCGTGTGGTTCTCCAACAGTGAGCTTTAAAGATTTGTTTTACTCACCCTACTCCATTTTCTCACTGGGAGTTATATCTCAGAGAAACAGAGTCAACATTTCTTAAAAATTGGCCTCGGTTACATTTCTTTTAAACAGACTGCTACAGATACCACTTTAAATATTTCTGCTTCAAATTGTTATTTCTTAATTTGACACAGTTTGTTCCCCACTTTCCTTAAAAGGTTACATTTTTCAAAGATTGTTATACTGCAATAAAAGAACAAGTTATTTTAAGATTTATTGGCAAACCATCTTTACTAGGTTTGCCAATAAACAAGGACCAAACTTTCTGTGACAGATTGACATTGTTTGTACCCCCAGGTGACGGATCGGCTGGGTTGAGGACGGCGAGAGTCGTGGAGCCATCAGACTTCCGCCTTGCAAACTCCAACTGTAAGACAAATAAATTATCACTCTCTCATAAAAAAAAACGCCAAAAACATAAATAGTAATATACATTTTCCAAAATACAATAATTTAACAAAAATATGTGTCGTCACAAGGTTAATGTTATGGATTATTGCTGAACTGATGACTTTTGAATGATCTGCAGCATCTTTTCTTGTCACACTGCCAGCTGAAGAAATGAATGCTTTTAAAGGAAGACAAATTAGCTGAAATAAAAAAAGCTTTCCCGCGAATTCTTGCTTCTTACATCGCACTGCACCACTCTGTTCGACAGCTTTCCTCCAGACTCCTCAATGACCTTGCGGATTTCCTCCAGCTCTTTCTCGGCCTTTGCCGCCTCGTCCTTGGAGTCTTTGTCTTGTCTGCAAAGGAATTTCAAATTGAAGAGGTGAGGATGAGACAATTTGACAATGAGTCGATATTTTTGGAGCAGCAGCAAACGGCGACAAACAATAATGCAGGAAGGAAGTCTGCGTATTTAAACGCTGCTTTTGTTACACTCTTCATCCATTTGATTCGATTCCCTGACGTCAACAAATGTCATCAAGATGCAACAGGCTCATAAAGATTGTTGTGGACATGGTGAGTCTTCATGCAGCAAAAAAGAAAGAAGCTAAATTCAAGAAAAATATGTACAGCAACAGGAGCAGACACGTCCTAGCTTGCCATCGGGCATTCCTCACATTCTCATTATGCAGCTCTGCAGTAAAAAAAACCCAAACTTTACGCAGTGACTGAGTGGGAATGCTCTCATAAACACACAACATGCTGTTTCTGATTAGTCTTCTTAGAAAGCTAACAATATTTCACCCTTCACTCAAAGCTTATGCATCTTTTACACAGATATTTAAAGGTCTAATGTGTCGAGTTGCAGGTTATCAGTGGAAGGTGTGACGTTGGCAAGTTGAAGCACCTTGGAGTGCTGGGCGTCTGGGAGCGCTCGCTGCTCCCTGCAGCCATGGCTCCCTCCTTGCTCTGGTCTGAGCTGGTGACTCCTTGGTCCTCTGACTTCACCGGTTGTTTGGCAAAGCCGTCAAGGCCAGACATAAAATTTATGCTCTGCTTTAGACTGTCCAGCCTTTCCTATTGGAGGAACAACAACAAAAAACACTTAGTGGCCTAGAGAGGAAAAGCAAATGGGTAAAGAAAATAATTCCCTTTACTGTATGGTAGAAAAGTCCAGTTCTGGTGTCCTGAAAGTTTTAGCTGTGTGCTCACTTCGACACAGCTGACTCTAGTTGATTTACCGCTCCAACATGTTATCAAGCTCTGCACAGGTCTGTTAATTAACTATTAAATTGATGATGGTGTGTTGAATCGGTAACGGGCCTTTCCAGAAACAACACCACTGCAGTATGAAAAGTTCAGATGACGTTCTCTAGTGCCCTCATGTGTTGGATCAATGCAATATCAAGTCTACTTACTCAACTCCCTTTTGTCTCTAAAGGAAACACACAGCTATTATTGGATATATTATAAAGCTGTGTTCCTCACCATCTACTTCACTTCGGATAATTTTCCTACCAGGTTAATCTGTTGAAAGAGAATTTAAATAAAAGTTTTTCTACTCTAAATAGTCTTGCAAGTCTCTGTCGTGTTCATCTGAAGACTCTTATCACAAAACAAACCCTGGTTTTCTAACATGAGCTGATGTTAGAGGATGTACTTATTCTGGCTGTACAATTTTGGACTGAAATCCACGGGGTAAAGGAAAATACAGACACATTTCTATGAGGAGACTCGTACCTGGCTCAGGATCTTCATTCCAGAGTATAACAGTTTTCGAGCTGCCTTATGGTAGATTGTCTCTGGTTTGTTGTAAATCATGGCATTCTCACACATAATTCTGAAGTCTGCCTACAGCAACAACAAATCCAGCACCAAGCATTAGACAAGATATGAAAAAAATATATATATATTTAAGCAACAGGTTCAGCACCTTGCAAGAATTGTGTATTTCATTCATAAAATAAAAGATACTTGGAAAATTCAAAGAGTTAAGAATCTTTTCTGACAGTAAAACATCTTGTGGAGTTGTACGTCTGATCTCTGGTTTACCTACGCACTTACTTTGAGTTCGTCTAATGACTGATAGAACTCTTTCTTGACTTTGTCCTTCATTGTACTGAAGTCCATCGGGCGTTTAATAATTGAAGAGTAACCAGGTGCAATGAGGTCGGTCACCGGAAATGCAAAGAATGCATTGGGGTCTTTCCTGCAGTGTAAACACATTTCATTCACATATGAACCAAAGCATAGACAAAAACAGATACATGCAGACAGAAAGGGTGATGACTGGGGTTCTCAGCTCTGTGAGGGGAGTTTGCTTATACATGCACAATAATTAATTAAAGAACACTTAGAACCATGTGCTGCACCTTTGAAGCTGCCTGATGAGCTGATTCAAAGCTTCCTGCAGAGGTGTCTGCTCTTTTTCTGCAAACACGGATGTCAGATGGATATTAAAAAATACTTAGAAGCTTTGAGAAAGAAAGTTGGAATAAAGTATAGACATTTTGAAACTACCTTCCAGTTTATCCAACTCTGAACGAATAGGAGTTCTGCTCTGCTCTTTGTCTTCTTCCCCATCTGCATCATGTCCCTTCTTCTTTTTAGTCGTCTAACATGAACAGAGACAATATTCGCCTTCATAGCAGCAAGTCCATTTGCAAGGATAATCATCTCCTACGGTCGTGGCCAAAAGATTTGAAACTAACAGTTTTGTTTTTCATAAACTACAACATTGCTTGAAGGTTTCATGGTCAGAAAAGTTTAAATTAATCATTTTTTTTATTATCATTTTGGATCCCCACTTTTCACAGTTTCAAATGTAAACTGAATGACATGTATAACACCAAAACTTGGCCTTTCAAAACACTGTTGTTTTCTGAATTATTAACCTACATACGCCATGATTTCTGCACATTTTCAAGACAAAATTTCCTACCTGCCCAGGTTCAGATTTTCAGTTATCAATCCTTGGAAAAAGAAATGACTGGATGCATTGAGATGGACAGATTAATGGCTATAATCTTTAAGTCATAACGCAAAGGATTAGTTACAGAAATACAAATATTTGACCTATTCTATTTTTTCTCCATGCTTATCCAGGATTGGAAGATACTTAAAATGTGCTCTTCGAATCATGATGCTGATATAGTTTAAAAGTAAACTTTCAGTTTGTGAAAAACAAGATTTCTGTTTCCTTTGTTCTGTTCTGTACTCTTTCTTTAGTGTGTGTTTATATATATATATATATATGTGTGTGTGTGTGTATACTGTTTACCTTTTTCTTCCCTCTGTCTTCCTCTGGAGAGCCGAAGCTCCTGTCTTTATCTTTCTTCTTTTTCTTTTTCTTGTCTTTGGGTTTGTCGCTGTCCGCGGGTTGCTCCTCATAAAAAGTGTCCAGACTGGAACTTCCGGTCGTGACTTCGTTCCCGGACACCTTTAACACCAGCTTCAGCGGTCTGTCTCCGTATTCTGGGAGCATCAAATCAATAAGAGTCAGTGGGTCAATGCGTCTCAAAGAACCAACAATGTCTGTTCGTCCTGACAGCTCAGGGATGAAATGAACAGCTACCAGACAGGTAAGGCATGTTGCAACTCCTATTCAACCAACATATCGCTAACACTGTTTATAAACACAGACACATTCAGGAAATAGTCCCATAAATTAACGTAGCTGATAAATAGTTTCCGAGCTAACGCTATTATGTTGCTATCATAGCGGGAAGACAATTAATTCTACATATTTTTCAACAAAAAAGCTATAAAAATACTATATAAATAACACAACCAAAGATATGAACTAAAATACCTTCATATGCATGTTTTTCGGACTTGTGCTTTTTGTGCTTCTTGCCCATTGTTTGTATATTAGCCACCGGCTGCTAACTCTTCTCAGAAGACCGTGTTAGCGGAAGCATTATGGTGAGAGACAGCGGACTGCAGCGCCACCTGGCGGCAAGGCGGAGATCACACGCCGGTTTGCACACTATAGCAGCCAGGAGAGGGCGCTTCAGGCTTGGTATTAATGTCGATAGGCTTCACTCCTCACCTAATCCCGCTTTAATTTAAAATCTGGGATTTGTGTAAACCTACAGGAGATTTTGAACAAGGATAGACAACTATATTGCACATGTGCAGGACCTTGCAAAAGTATTTTTCAGACAGCTATTGGCCAAGCACTCCACAAATCCATCTTTTATAGAAAAACGGCAAAAAAAACAAACAAACAAACAAAAAAACAAAACAAATCTTAGACTTGTTCTCAGTCGCTTTGATGCATTTCTCACAACTAATAATCCCCACACGTCTTCTAATCAGTGAAAGCTGAGGTTCACTTGGAAGAAATTGTTCAATTTGCAAAATATCTTCAGGAAAGAATGACAAAAAAACTGCATGAAATTCACAGGGTTTGACAACTGGTCAGCCTTTTTATATGTGATGACTCAAGCAGCTCAATTAGTTTATAGGAAATTACTGTTCAGCATTTATAGGTAGTTAATTTTGAATTGATAATGTTGGAAACAACAGAGAATTGTATGGATGCATTCAATACATGTCCAATCAAGAATTAATAGTGAGGAAAATTGCTGTTCACAAGTGTTCTCCATTCGAATGGACTGAGCTTTTGCCATTTTACATCAAAAAAGACAAAAATTTCAGTCTCTAAATGAAATAAGCTGGGAGTAAAAAGAAAATAACCAATTATNAAGANATTAAATGCAGCTGTTTTGTCAGTTATTGATATTTTTTGTGCGGGTCATTGTAAAGTCAATTTTTCATGCATATTTTTGTTTTATTTTATCTGAACTCCAAATTCTAGAAAAGCATTTGTTTCAAAAGGAAACAAAAGAAATCCAGTAGAAGAAATAAACCGTTAGAAGAGAATAAAATGAATTTCTTAGTGCCCTAGATGAGTAACCTAAAGCAGTAGAGGTAGTGATAAGATTTCTGGCACAGTTTTACCCACATTAAAGGGACAGAAAGAAGGACAAGAGATGTCCCAGATGAAACCCATGAAAGTGTTTTAGATGGTTCTGTTTTTTTCTGTCTGTGTGGGAAGGGGATACGGTGCATAAAGGCTCACAACTTTTTAATAACAAAGACTATTTTTGCATTAATAAATAACCCATGGATTTGGAAAACACTGAAGGAATTTTAGTACAAGCAAGAAAATTCAAGAAGCAGAAAGAAACAATAATAATCAAAGGAACTTTCCAGAGAACTTCTCAGTTCACAGTCATGGAAATGAGCTCATCATTTCCATATTTCTTAATATAAAACAAGGTGTAAAAGCCTCACAAACTCCCCTCGTTTCGATGTGAGCATCTGCGTTCCTGCACCCTCCAAGCTCTAGGAAGTGTCATGAAAATTTCAGGGCTGCAGCACAGGTGTGAAATTGTCTTTAGGTAGCCTTTCTCTAATATTCCTGGTATGAAAGCAAACATGCGTTTGTATTGGTGGCCTTTTTTTATAGCTTTTAGTTGTAAATACATTCAGTGGATCATGTTTAAATTAGCCAGTGTAATCTCCAATGGCAGACAAATGACACTCTGTTGGATTTGTGTTTCGCAGGACTCTGTAGAGTCTGGAGCTTCCCTGCCTGTCTGTCTGCCTTGCGGAGCTGTTATGCTCTGTTAAATCGGCACATATTGTACTGGCTGATGAATGACAGATGTTTTATTCATGGAGGAAAGATAGTGTACATTCTTTGAAGCACATTCCAGGTTTCACGAAGAGGGTACAGGATGGGGGCAGACGGTTTGAAAGGAAAGAAGACTGCCTGAATTCACCATTTCAGCCATTCCTGCCTGCAGATGAAAAGGTGATTCTGACAGTCTGTTGATGCTTCAGTCTCGTATCTGGGCAAACCCATCCCCAGCAAATTATGTCTTGATCTGTGTCGCGAAGAATGTTTCAGACCGCATTCCTTACGCTCAGCTGGGACATCTGACTGGTGCTCTGATGAAGCAAACACTGGAAGAACAAATACAGTGCAATGCATTTCTTACCCCTTGAACTTTTTCTTGCTTTGTTTTGCCACCTTACAACCACAAACTTCAATGTGCTATATTGACCTTTCAACAGACAGACAAGCAGTAACTAGTGCAAAATTTCAAGGAAACAAATGCATTTTTTTTTTTTTTTTTACAAAGAAAAGTAATCTGAATAGCTTGGACAGCATTCAATTTTAAGTCTTTTCACACATTCTTAACTGGATTAATATCTGGATTTTGACTGGGCTATTGTAAAACATTGATATATTTTGAACTAAACCATTTCATCGCACCTCTGGCTGCATCTTTTTGGTCGTTTTCCTGCAGAAAGATGAGCCTCTGCCCCAGTCTCAACTCTTTTACAACTTCTAACAGATCTTCTTTCAGTTTTGCCCTGCTCATGACTTTCTCCATATTCCGATTAGTTCCGACCAACAAAGCATCCCACAGCATGAGTCAACCACCACCTTGCTGTCACATGCTGGTTTAGATTTTAATTTATAAAAAAAGAGAGAAAACGGGTGTTTTTACTTCACAACTGCACAATTATTTGTGAAATACAGTCAAAATAAAACATAGTGAGGTTTTTGACTGGAATGTATCAAACTATTACAAGGCACTTTAGCTTGCAGACAAAGTAGAAGAACCTACAAACAGTTTCACACCACATTCAAATAGCAGCTGACAGTTACAGCAAGTAAAAGTGGATGTGCAGAGCATCATGGAAAAAACCCATCATAGAGTAAACTCAGTAGAATGCTGTGGTTGTTGGTAAATGATTTCTATAACTGGACTGATTACATTATTTATTATCCAGTTATTTTTTGTTTAATACAGCATGTACACTGCTCAAAAAAATAAAGGGAACACTCAAATAACACATCCTAGATCTGAATAAATGAAATATTCTCATTGAATACTTTGTTCTGTACAAAGTTGAATGTGCTGACAACAAAATCACACAAAAATCATCAATGGAAATCAAATTTATTAACCAATGGAGGCCTGGATTTGGAGCCACACACAAAATTAAAGAGAAATGATCCCCTTATTTGCATGAGCAGCATATTAAAATGTATTAATTGAGTTTAGCAGAGCTGCTAGGCCTGAATATTTAGCATCTGTATCACCTCAGCTTTACCTCTGTTCTGCCTTAAAACGTGTAAAAACCTAGAATTCATATGTTTTTGCATTGAGAAACAGAAGTTGTATGTGTACTCCTGTGAAGGTAATTGTTGCTATCGAGAGGAAGTTCAGTGTTTTGGGAAGTTAAAGTTTTTCATGCAAAGAGAACTAAGGAACTTTGAACTTTGAAAAGATTTCTCTGGTACTGCAACAGCAGAGTGTCAATCCTTCATCTGCAGAACCAGACTGCTGGAGTGGAGGGATCGTTAACTCCGGCTCAAACAATTTTTATTGCAGTGTGGCGAACTTACGAAAGCAAATGATGCATTTAGAAGAAAAACTTTGTGCCGTGTGAAATATTTTGATTTTACCTTAATTTTGGGAATTCTGACACAATGAATTGACGATTAAAAACAAACAAAATGAAATAAATAACATGGTTTAGGATTCAGTATAGTCATCCAATGGAAAGATTACATATTTTTAGTCAATGTTTAAATGTGTCTTTTCTATAATTGAGGTGCAGAACAAAATGCACAATATCGAATCAATAATGCATAGATCTGTTGTACAATATTGCATTATTTCAAAAGCAACAAATCCTCTCTTCAACAATCAAACTTTTCAGAAAATGACATTTTTTCTATGCTAAAGATAACATATTTGGTTACAAGCCGTTTTGGACCATTTTTACTAAATATATATTAGTCCAACCACAGACAGATGGAACAAGTTTCAATGGAGTCAAACACAAGAAAACAAAATAAAGCATAAATTTACTGCTGTTGCATACAAGTAAAATAAATAAATTATTTCAACATTAACTCCAGTTTTACAAATTTATTTTGACCCCAGTATAATTTTCAGTAAAAGTCAGAATTGTATAGTTTCGTCACCTTGCAGTGTATTGCACTGCAGTGGCAGCGTAACCTCAAACTGAAATATGTTAAAAAAAATGTACAAATATTTTATTCTGATTACATGGGATTTTATGAATAAATGTAAAACATATATATATACTGTATATATGTTTATATATATGTTAGACAAAATCACCAGTGGCACTTTTGCTATAATTTAATATATTTTTTCTGTGTTGCAGTGGTGTGTTCATCTTTAATATCTGAAAATATTATTTAAGTAACATTTGATCATGGACGTTTAAGATTATTCTAATAATTAACCACATCGTATGGCTTTGAGGTGGAGGAAAGTCATTTTAAAGAATCTGTCCTTCAACACTGTAAAACCGCAGCAGTTTATCAGTCTGATTACAGCAACCTATCATCCAGTATCCATCCGCTCTGCAGCTCCAAGGAGGTCATGAGAGCCAACTGCTCCGGTCCAGTCACGAAGCTGCACAAGTCTTGGAAGCCCTTGGATTAAAAAGGGCTCAGTTACACCAAACAGGGTTAACAAATGGCAGATGTTGTGAAATTCATTATCCTCTGTCACAACAGAGGAGCGGCGGGGACCAGAAGACCATTTCCACATGAAAGCCATGTCCCAACAGAACCATGAGAAATGGTGTCCCGCTCTGCAGATGGGATTGGAGCTGGGATGGTTTAGCCTTTGAACATGCAACACAACTAAATCACAAATAGGCATAACAAAGGCTGGCTTTAAAGAGTTTATCTGCTCCACACATGGACTGTGTGAACCAAACAAACAAAATTGTGGTGGATGTGTATTGGGAAATATCTTTTGTTCAAAATTAGAATTGTTAGTTATATTTAAGTTAAAGCTTTAGGCTCCTAGGTAAACCATTTCATCCCCAGTGCATGATGATAGTACCACCACTCTGTATTCATCTCCTTTAGGCAAAATGCTTATTTTAGTCTCTTTTGATCAGAGCGCCTCCTTTAACATGTTTGCTGTGTCCCCTATCTGACTTGTTGTAAGTTGTAGAGGGAAATTACAGTCACTAAGTTTCAGAAATCCAACAATCCTGCTGCTCTGTCAATAAGGCCAGATTTGTGGAGTTCATGCCTAATAGCAGATTCTCCTGCCTGAGGATTCTCAGATTATCAATCTAATGTATCTCTGCAGCACATTTCAGCAATAAGGCAGTTCAAAGTGCTTTACATCATAAAAACATCATAGTCACCAACTGAGAAACCAGTACGCATCATTAGAGATTAATGCTCCTCATTTGACCTGTCAGTTTAGGTGGATGCCTGTGTCTTGTTAGGTTTACAGCTGTGCCATACTCTATCCATTTTCATATGATGTATAAAGCTGTACTCTGACATGTTCTAAGTTTAGGATATTGTTTGATAACCTAACTCTACTTTATGCATCTTCATAACGTTCTCACTGACCCATCTGCTGCATTCCTTGGTCTTCATGATGGTGTTTGTTCACTAATGGTCTCTATTAAACCAATGAGGCCTTAACAGAATGGATGTATTTGTACTGATAAGACCCAAGTGATTACATACGAGTTATTTTTATGTAGGGCTGTAGACCAAAATGTTTCAGACTTTTGCTAAAACGATACTTTTCCAAGGAACTGTATTGACCTCACACTAACTTATTATAAATCTCGTCTGTCCGTGTCTTCTCTTTCACTTTGTAGTTTGGACATTGTCACAGTTCTTTGCGTATCTTTTCAGCCTTTTTAAAGTAAAAAGCTACTCTGCTGGATAATTACACCAGTCCGTGACAAATGGACATTAATAACTTCTGTCCTTTTAAATCGATGTGAGAACGTGGCATGGAGTCTAGCCACAGAAGAAGATTCTCTGCAGCTGAAATTGTCAGAGCGCCGCTCAGATGTGACAGATGAAATGTTTGGGGTCATTACAACTGTCAGCACAGAAGGGGTTTGAAGATGTAACCAACCGTCACGAGTAAGCCAGACAGCAACATCAAAGAGGAGAAGCCAATCATTCTGCCTCAGTGTTTTTCTCCCGCCTGCCATTCTGTCATGCCAACATCTTTGAGCATCACTCACTCATCCCCGTCAAAGCTCTGGGCGTGCGTGACGACTCTATTTTTATCTGCAATCAGAAACGTTTCATGTCGTTGGGCTGGATCGTCGTTTTTTTTTTTTTTTTCACAGCTCGCCGCTGACTCTGCAGCGTGGCGGTCCAGTCCTCTGATAACCAACGAAGGTACGCCACTGAAGGTCTGGTATGATTTTTGGGCGTCAGCAACCATCCATGCTGAGCTGCAATGCCTGCAAAAACGGTTGTTGGTTGTTATACCCCAAAATACCCTAAACTGGACCCCTGTGGACAAATAAATATAGCAGAAGACGGAAAGATCTCAAATCAGCACGACAGACGCGGCCCAACCCAACTTTAGCTATTTGAAGTTCCTCAGTGCGTTCCTATTAGCATGTGCCTTTTCCAATTTTATCCGCAGTGTTCTCTGATCCAGTTGCTCTAATGTATATTTCACTGAGCTTTCTTAATGTTTTTGTAGTTTGTGACTCTCTGCTTTGGAGTGCTTGATGTATTATTCTGCTTTGAAAACTTCATTGTAATGGGGATTTTTTTTTTCTTTTTTAAAGAAAGCTGTTTTGATGTGTAACTCTTCTGGGGACGATTGCAGGAAGTTGACTTTCTCTATGTTTAAGGGGGCATATATCCGAAAAATGCTTACACGTGCCCTAAAATCCACAGTGTGCATGCATGACAGCATAAAACAGGACAAGCAAGGTGGCAGAAAAAGTAGGTAGAGGTTGGGGTAGGGGGCCTTATTTCGATCTGAGTCTTTATTCTCTGCAAGCCTCTGAAGACAGTGGTCCTGGGGTGCAAAAAGTACGCAGGGGAGGTGCGTTCAAAGCTTGCGAGCTTGGTGATGATCCTCTGTCAGATCCTAAGCCGTTTGAAAAGTTCATATAAACCAAAAGACAGCGGCTGGGAAATGGTCTTTGCAAACCCAAAGAGAGTTTATCGTCTCGACACAGGGAGAGGCACTGTTTGAGGTGGAAACACGCTGCCTGTAATCTCATTCTACTTCAGAGCTTTATCAGGGACCTCTACCTCCTCAAAGGAGATGGATAGACCAGCATGGTTCTTATAAATAAGGCATCTCAGAACATGTGTTTTTATTGTGCCTTAAAGCGCCACTGAAACATAGCAACTGAGCAGACTAATGACTTAATACACCATTAGGCATTTAACAAAATATAAACACTTCACACTGGATATCTAACCA